TTTTTTTTTTTTTTTTTTTTTTTTTTTGTATAACAGGTTAGATCAAGGTTTTTCGTGGACATGAGAAACCCTGACATAACACTGTCTCCAGTTAAAAGGGAAATCACATGCATGGAGCAAACCATTTCCAGAGTCCAACCGTGACTTTGACTGTCTGGGTGTCCTGCCTGGGCCTGCAGTAGCCTGCCCTCTGTATCTATTTCATCAGCTTTCCGCAACTGAAATTGTTCAGAATCTCTTTCTTTAAACTAGAGGCCTATAACCAGACAATAGGAATATTTATAGCAACTCAACTGATTACTTTTCTAAGATGAAAGGCAAAATATATAACATCAAATGGATACTCTGATTTAAATTATTCTTTATTAATATGACCAATTATGAAAAATCGTATCCATTAGTAAATTCTTCAGATTTCAAGTACAGTACAGAATTTAGTTACCAGGTTTATGTTGGATCTATCAACAAGGAATTTCTGTCCCTCTCAGGTAAGGCTGACCTCGCCAAAAAATCGGCTTAGCCCCTGGCAATATTATGATTGGCTGTAGTGAATCTGCCCATCAGATCATGTGCTGTGGAGTCCATTGTGACTGATGAGGACTTTCAAAGTTTTGGCTTCAGTTGGATTTGTTAGAGTTGTTTATACCTAATTTAAACTAGGATGAAGAGTCCTTGTTTTACGATATGAGACTCCATCCACATCACATGTTTTCATTGTACCTATTTTCGCCTGAAAACACTATATTAGTACCTCCACTGGTTTCATCAGAAGAGTCTAAGTACAAGGGAACTCTCAAACTCATGGTGACAGACAACAGTTTTCCAAATTCTATTTTTCATTTGAAAACTTGGCTTTTATCATTGGCATCCTACATTGTCAGTTGTTTTTCTTTTCTTTCTTCTCTTTATAATAAATTTAAAATTTTTTATTTATTTATTTATTTTTGGCTGCATTGGGTCTTCGTTGCTGTGTGTGGGCTCGCGAGCGGGGGCCAGTCCCCACTGCAGTGCAGGGACCCCCTCATTGTGGTGCCCCCGCCCCCCCATGGAGCATGGGCTCCAGGCACATGGGCCTCAACAGCTGTGGCACACAGGCTCAGTAGTTGTGGCGCATGGGCTTAGTTGTTCTGAGGCAGGTGGGATCTTCCCGGACCAGGGCTCGAGCCCGTGTCCCCTGCATCGGCAAGCAGATTCTTAACCACTGTGCCCCCAGGGGAAGCCCTGTTTTTCTTGAAGTGACAGATTTACTTCATCTTAAAGAAAATGTCTGCCAGATATCCCAGTTAAAACAACCATAGTTTATCTGTCAGTCATCCTTTCAAGTAAGAACAGTGTTCTTTAAAGGAAAAAGCAGCTAGTTCAGTTCACAACTCAACTCAGATATTCACACTAGCCTTCTTCCTGGAGACAAGCATCATACTTCATGCTGCAGTAGAAGGTACTTTACAAACACTTCCCATATCATCACACAAAATGTTAGAAGGACTTACGGCCGAAGGTCACGATTTGGTAAAATGCGTAATTTTTAGTGCCTCATCAAGGATATTCTTAAATGAATCTGGCAGTGCAATGCCTGCTTTCTACTTTATGAATTCAGTGACCACTTTTTTTTTTTTGCAGTACGCGGGCCTCTCACCGCTGCGGCCCCTCCCGCTGCGGAGCACAGGCTCCGGACGCGCAGGCTCAGCGGCCACGGCTCACGGGCCCAGCCGCTCCGCGGCACATGGGATCTTCCCAGACCGGGGCACGAACCCGCGTCCCCTGCATCGGCAGGCGGACTCTCAACCACTGCGCCACCAGGGAAGCCCCAGTGACCACTTTTAAAGTTTGGTGGCCTTGCCTTAATTCATGCCAAGGTACCAAGAAGTTGACCTTACCTTGTTTTGTCCTATCAGTGGATATTACAACACAGTGAAAAAGGCATCTTAGAGTTATTATGAATAGTTTTGACCCTGTGGACCCCTCACAGTGTCCCAGGAACCACCAGGGATTCATAGATCACACTTTGAAGAAGACTGACTTAACGTAATGCCAGGATTGGTAACCATTTGGCATAGCTAACAGTTGTGGTATTTTTTATTTACCACCAATTTTTTATTTACAATCAGGTGTTTCAAAAAAATCAGTATTCCTCATATAGATATAATTACTCTATGTATTAGTATCGATATATTTCATTAGTCAAGATTATTCGTATACATAACTTGTTCCTGCTATTTAACAATATAACAAATTATTGATAATCAACTTCATTAAAGTATTTACATTTAAGGGGATAAATTAGGAGATTGGGATCAACCTATACACACTACTGTATATAAAATAGAGAAACAACAAGGACATACTGTTTACCCAGGGACCTATACTCAATATTTTGTAATAACCTATAAGGGAAAAGACTCTGAAAAAAATAGATATATATGTATATGTATATATGTATAACTGAATCACTGTGCTGTACACCTTAAACTAACGCAACATTGTAAATCAACTATATTTCAGTTAAAAAATGTTTACAGAGACTTCCCTGGAGGTCCAGTGGTTAAGACCCCATGCTTCCCCTGCAGGGGGCGTGGGTTATCCCTGGTCGGGGAACTAAGATCCCACATGCCGCATGGTGCAGCCAAAAATAATAATGATAATAAAATAAAATAAATAATAAAAAATGTTTACATATTTAAGTATTAAAAACACATTTGATTATTTTATGATGTTACTATTACTCTATAATTTCAAAATAATTAAAACTTGTCTGGGTATTAATGTGAAGTGACCCCATGGTCTTAGAGTCATGTAGGTAATACCTTGTGTTATTAACATATTGTATATATAAATGCACTGAATAAATCCAATATAATATACATTCAGAGTAAATGAAGGTGAACCTACAAGACTGATAGAACTCAGAAGTAAACTGAACATATTTTGATACCACTTGATCCAGAAATACCTAAGGTTTTGATATTGATTTGAAATTGATATTTCCAATTTATGTATATTAGATGCTTGATTTCAGTAGAAAGTAATTTTATTATGACTTCTTGAACAGTGAAGTCTACAGTTTCTATCTGGACACCAATTCTGATTTTGTATTTCTTTTCTCTTCTCTCACCAGGTTTGATAGCTGTTGTGATCTTTATCTTGCTGTGCATCACTGCCATAGCTGTCCGCATTTATCAGCAGAAAAGGTTATACAGAAGAAATGAGGCAAAAAGGTCAGAGAATGTAGACAGTGCTGAGGCTGTTTTGAAAAGTGAGCTTCACACACAAAATGCAGTCTGTGAAAATCAGAAAGAGTACCTCTTCTGATTGGCAGCAGTGATTTACCTTATAATTACAGCAGTCTGATTTAATAGCCAGGGGCTCTCAAGGGACAAAAAACAGTTCTTACACTGAATGTACAGGCAATGGATTTGCAGCACTGCCATGTTGCCATGTCCAGACTCGAGACAGCTCCAGGAGGCCTCATCCAGTGACATACTTCCCACAGCGGTCATTCTATATAACAAGGAGTTTTAGATATTGATATTAATTTCCAACTGTTCTGATATGATCTGAAACAGAAGTTTAACCCACTTGAGAGCTACAGGTTTTCAATGTGAAAAGTGTAGCACTGGCCTCTCAGCCGTAAGTGATACGTAAGTTGTGTGAGAGGTAAAAGTCAAAATGGGACTCTAATGACCTTGCTTTATTTGAGAACATATTCTGTGTTTGCTTTAGTGTCCCCATGGTGTTATTCGTAGACCTGGAAATGCTTCTAAGATCCTGTTTGGCTGGTGTTTGCATCTTCAGTGGCCAAAAGTATATAAACCCTTTTGCCTTTCTCTGTATTGCATTCAATACAATTTATCAGTCGTGTCGAAATAGGTTTTGTTGTCACTGGTTTGTTTGTATTGCTGTTTTTCTATTTGACTCTTCTCAGTGATTTTGAAAACTTTAGTGTCAGGCTCCAGCTCTGAACATGCAATTCATATGTAACAAGACCTACAAAGTGCATTGGTCATCAGTATGTGATGTCTTGCCTTTAACACTTTTCTGTTTAACTTGCTCTTACGGTTCAGTATCAGCAGTAGTTAAGACCCTGGGTGATGCCAGTTTCCCAAAGAGTGAGAAATGTTGGCACGTAAACTCGTTGATATAAAAAAACACAATTCTTAACACTTCAAAGAATTATTTTTATTTACGACTGTAATATCTCAAATGAAATATACTTCCGAGAATATTTTCCCCAAAACCTTATGTCAGTTTTCTTTATAGGTTTATATTTCTGTTTTCCTAAAGTTTATCACCCACTTTTCTTTGATCTCCCTTTACTGTATTCCATGGAGCATCTTCTTATGTATTAGAAAAAAGAGACAATTTGAAGTGTAGAGCTCCATTCTCCATTCTGAACTGTATCCCCCGCCTTGAGGCATATATTTTGCTGTGCACTGACATCCAGGACGTACTTTTTGAAATATAAGCTGCACCATGCCCCCTTTTTTGCAAATCCAGTAGAGTTATTCAAGAATGCTCCTCCGAAGGGGTGATGGCATATTACGTGTCATATTCTAAGTCTGTCGTTCTAGTCACTTCTCATTTACGATGATGGGGTATATTTCTCAAAAAGAACCAAAAATCAATATAACTTACTAACTAGTTCATTTTGATTAGGAGATATATACATAACAGAAGTTCAAATAATTATCAATAACTTTATGAAACTTGCAATAATTACCTTTGAGGCCATGTAAATAAGATGCTTGCATGTAGCTATCTTTGAATTCCACAAGCCAATTGTATAGCAGAGGCACTTTGGAATTTACACTCACACTTTCCAGGTGTCTGCCAAGGAAAAACTGGATTCCTTAGTTTGTTCACACTAGAACAATTTGGAAATATGTAAATTAAACATATTTTTCTTTATTTTCCTTCTTGACTCTCCTTACAAAACCTGCCTGTCTTTTCTCACAGCACTATATCCATTTTGATGTTTCTGTAAATGCCCGACTAAATCTCAAGGATATGAATTAACAGTAGTTTATGAAGGACCTATATGGATAAATGGCATTTTTGTTGTTGTTGAAAGGCTTGTGGTAGCTATCAAAGGATTGAACATGAAGATGGTAGTTTTCATTTAGTGCAAAGCTGAATACAAACACTGTAACAGCTCTCAATCTTTCACACGTGTTCTTGTTATTTAGTAGCAGCTTTAACCTGGTTGGGAGCTGGAATGTAGACAGGTTTATAGATGGTGAAGCCTCGCAATACTCTGTGGTCTGCCGGCTAGGGACTTCAACATTATAGCATCAAAACGCACTGATACATCATATGACATGACTTTCATTCCCTGATTTGTAATCTGTTCCTTCTTTTTTCTTAATAAAATGCACTTTTGAAGTAAAATGCAGAGTATATTTTGAGATGTTGTATAAAAGTTTAAAATGAGGGAATTATACTGGATTTTTTTTTTTTCTCAAAACAGTAAAAAGATGCATAGATGTATGCCTTCTTTACTGGTGTTTGTGGTTTTTTTTGAACCTTTTGGTACACCCCATGATTATTATGAATTGTTAACAAAAGCTGCGTTTATAATTTTTCCATTTAACTGGACTCAGAAATGAAAGAAAAAATAGAAAGATGTTTACTGATTGTAACAAGTAAAGGAAGTTAAAATAGATTTTAAGTTTTGCCAAAGAACAATGATTTGACTGTTAGCAGTTGTTTGCTGAAAGGTTATTTTATATTTAAATTGGGTGATATCCTTTTACTTCTGCCAAGAACTTGGCTCATCTATACAGTGAGCCCTGTATAGATGCACAGGATTATACGTAAGAATATAGCACACAGTGCTGTAATATAAAAGTTTAAAAATTCTTTATTGGTGATTTCAAGTGAAAAAAATGAAAACAATATGTAATTAACATTTCCCAAATCTCATTAAATCCAAATGTGCAATATGCAAATAAAGTGGAGTTAGGGTGGCGTATGAAATGAGGGTCACGCATGGAAAATGACATCTTAATTTTGTAGAAACCATGTCCACTCTAGGAAATAGTTCCATTTTTTAAAATCCTTTCCCGAGTGTTGCTCTTTAAAGCAAATTTAATAAATTCTTCAGACGGTAAGTTAAAGACAGCAACCAGAAGGAGAAGCTTTATCTAGACAACCAACCAGACAGAAGTCAAGCGTTCAAATTACCTTTCATCAGATGGTATTGTCCATCATCTATAACAGAGCCTGGCAACAGAGTCCGTCGTGCAGCTGGCAGTCGCTGATATATTAGTGTGAACAGCTCAGTTTTACAGATGAAAGATCTGAGACTCATATCTGTGAGGTTATATTCCCAAGGGGACATGTAGTCGTATGTAATAAGTGACAAAGCTGTGACAAGAATTTCATTTTCACTCCACATTTTGCTGATCATTAGTGCCTTTAAGACCTGGAGTTTTGACAATTATTTAGTGGTGTAGAAAGGATCTTGGTATCCTTTTGGTCCAGAATGACCTATAGTTCTAGATCTTTTCCATATCCCTTTTAAATGAACATAAACCGTTATTTGGTAGGTCGTGGCTGTTGACAGATTTTTCTTAAAAAAAAATATTTATTAGGCTTATGGTTCTTGACTCTAGGAAAGATCACTTTAATCGAAACACATATAGTCTTTGTGAAATACTCAATATGAGTTAGATCTGACTGAGTCCTCAAATGTTTTCCTCATGATAGAAGATGACACATCTCATATTAAAGTGTGTAGTTGATTGATTGACTTTCCAATCCATGTATCAACTAAATGACGAATCTAACCAAATAATGCAATTTTACAGATGCATTCAGTAAGTCCTGCTTGTCTTCTACTTTTCCAAAGTTGGGATGATGGAGAGTGTTAACAGGGAAGAAAAAGTTTAGCAGCCGACTGCGTGTTAGGATTGTGTGTGAGTGAGCACACGCACACGAGAAAGAATACAACGTGAGGAGCAAGGGAACATGAACATTTTGCATATAATGTGGTAAGAGACTTGGACTTTTGATGTATCAATAGCTTCCCTGGCGCCTGGCTTTGAAGATTTGCAAATGCAAATAAAATGGGATGGAAAACAGCCTGACCCACAATTATAATGGCTTCTCAGGTGAAATCATTTTTTTATTCTTTTCCTTATTTATAATGTTAAATTTGAAAAATACATGCATATATTTTAACTTTTAAGTAGTATTCAGTACAAGAAATCTTACAAGGAAAAATAGCTCTCCGTTGCCATATCCCCTGCCATATCACTTTCAGCTCCTTTAGCGGTCTCTTTTTAGCTATCTCCACGTTTCTTAATTATATGCTGTAACAGGCTGGGTTCCCTGGGAAGCAAAGTCTTAAGACAGAGATTATTGTGAAGGAAATTTATTAGAGAATATTGTAGAGATCAACATCTGTTGGGGAAAATGGGGCAGATGGAGAAGTTGGTACAATCACAACAGAGACTCAGCCAACCCTGTTGATGTGGCCCATTACAGATGTCCTGAATTGGGGTGAGAGGGCTGGGCATTTTTACTCCTGTATCATCCAGGCATTGGGTATTGACTGCTTGGTGACCAGGGCATGAACTTGGACAAACAGCTCTCTTCAGCTTAGGTAGTTCCTGAAGAGGGAGGATAGACCTCCTCAGCATCTGGGGGATCTGGGTGGCACAGTGTACCATCCCTGAGGGTCCACCCTGTGCTTCTCAGACCCACCTGCTTCCTGTGAGCTCTGGGAGCAGCTCCTTCAGGACTCTGGTGGGCCTTGTTGCCCTGGGGAAACTTACACCAGGAAAGAGCGCAGAACAGACCACAGACCCTGCCCCTGCAGAGGGTGTCATTAAAATTTAAAGAGTATTCAATACAAGAAATCTTACAAGGAAAAATAGCTGTCCATTGCCATATCCCCTGCCATATCACTTTCAGCTCCTTTAGCCGTCTCTTTTTAGCTATCTCCATGTTTCTTAATTACATGCTGTAACAGGAGACTGTAACAGGAGAATGAGCTGGGACTCATTCTCTCCCTCCTCTGCAACCCATACCAGACTCCCATATCGCGAGCTGACAACTCTGCAAAGAGTTTGAACCCTTGTCTAGTATAAGCTTTCCAGGCTGCAGCTGCTGTACTTTTGCATTTACCATTAAAATTGGTCAAAGGGGGCCTCCCTGGTGGCACAGTGGTTGAGAGTCCGCCTGCCGATGCAGGGGATACGGGTCCGTGCCCCGGTCCGGGAGGATCCCACATGCCGCGGAGCGGCTGGGCCCGTGAGCCATGGCCGCTGAGCTTGCGCGTCCGGCAACGGGAAAGGCCACGACAGTGA